GCCTGATGCACAAAATTTGTGCAAGAGTAGGCCATCACAGCCCCAGCTGCCTCAGCCCTCACAGTCCGAGCTTCATCTGGAAGGTCGTCCGGACGGTCATTCTGCTGTTTGGCCGTTGGGTTGATTTGCATATTACACTGTTATTATTATAGATGTGTACATATACATATATGTCGAGAGAAAGGGGCAGAGATAGAAATTTTTAATACCTCAAGTAAACTGGTACCATGACTTTAAACATAATGTGTAAGACTTTTTAAATCACAGACTTAAATATTCATGCATTTAAATTTATCAGGATCTGGCTACAGATGTGAGGAAATTTATATGAAACTGACCCTACACTGTATCCAAGAATTCTGAAACATAAAGAATACATTCATGCCCTGGCCAGGTGGCCCAGTTGGTTAGAGCATCACCCCATTTAACAAAAAATTCAGGTTCAGTTCCTGGTCAGGGCACATATATCTAGGTTGCAGGTTCAATCCCCAGTTAGGCCATATATGGGCGGCAACTGATCGATGTTTCTCTATCTCGTCAATGTTTCTCCCTCCGTCCCTCCCTCCTTCCTTCTCTATGACATATCCTATATCTTCAGATGAGGATTAAAAATATACTCATTTCCTATTCCAAAATATAGATATATTCCAATGTATAGCAAATAATTGTGCCAAATAACCATTTATTGTTTCTGAATGCAGAGTATTCCCCCTTTTCAGGTACTAGCACCACCACCATTCCTTTTGTTGATTATCTGCCCTCCCCCAAATGATGTGATTCTGACGGGACTGCCAACCATGCTACCCTGCATACTCCACACCTTCTCTGTGAAGAGACTGCCACAAAATGCAATTCTGACAAAACAGAGTGCTCAACCTACCTACCAAAGTAATTGGCCCAGAGATGAGCATAAGAATTAAGCCAGGTTGAGGATTTTAAAAATGAACTTCAGGCCTTTCTTTTGGATCTAATGGTGGTGATAAAAGCCTGGAGCAGTCAATGACTATACCCTGTGTATTAGTCAGAGTATAGAAAAAGAAACAATAAGAAGTATACATGTATATGTGTGTGTGTGTGTATGTGTATACTGGAGCTCCATCTCCAGTAGGGGGGCATGCAGGAGGCAGTTGGTCAATGATTCTCTGTCATCACTGATGTTTCTCTCTCTCTCCCTCTCCCTTCCTCTCTGAAATCAACAAAAAAATGTATTTTTAAAAAAGAAAGAAAAGTAAATATTCTAACAGAAAAACTAAGGATGTGATACCAGTAGTTGCCAAAAACTTGTCTACAGCCATATGGAAGAAGTCTATGTGGAAGAATGATAGGATCATGGAGAGAGAATTAGAGATGAGAGACAAGAGAGAGAAAAGAAATCATAACAGCAAACCAGGCCCCAGTTGCAATCACCCCCAAAGCCTGGGTGAATAAACCCTCCCTGTAGCTTTGCTATATGAGCCAATAAAGTTCCTTTTGCCTAAACTTAGTCACAATTGGATTTTCACCACTTACAACTAAGTTCTAACTAATACGCAAGGGATTAAAGCACAAAATGGAAATAAATATAAAATAAAGCCAAATGCACCTAGGAATCATAGGTAGAAGTCAGAGTATAGAAGAAAAGTAAAAAAAAAATAAAGAGAGAGCAAATTGTCTTAGAGAAGAAAAAGGTGAGAAAAGGGTAGGGAAGAGGTGAAAGGGAGATGAACACAAGATGAGCATTATGTTGAGGGTGAGCCCAGTGAAACTGTATGCATGAATGTACATGTAGGCATTTCTTGGAAAGATGGTCTATGGCTTTCACTAGATCCTCAAAAAGGTCACCACCACACAATTAAGGAAGATGGGGCCTGATAAAGAGATCTATGCGAAAATAAAGCAGGCTCTTTGTTCCAGAAGAAAGATAGAAATAAAGTATTTGCTTTCTAATATCAATAGTTTCTGAGAAAAGACAGGAGTTATAAAAAAGGTATTCTTTTCCTGGAGAATAGGTATGCCAAACAGAATGAAACCAGTCACCATAGAAGATCTCTATCAATTTTGCCTTCAGATTTAATCCAAATATAATTTCAAGTTGATCTAGCTCCTCTCTCAAATTTCCATCTACTTATCTATTTGTGCCTAAATTTTCTTAAAGAAGAGTTATCAATTTTTACTCCATAATTACTTTGTCTAAAAATTTCCCTTTAAGAATCTGGGTTTTCGAATATCTTGAAATTATAGCAAAATTATGTGTAAATGTGCATTTCTTGAGAAAGGAGTTTGCATTTTTCTTCAAATTCTAACAGGCAATGTTGATTTTGTCACTCCCATGGATTTCACTAATTAAAACATTACCGAAATAAGACTCATTGTAATACAACCAACTCTCCATGATGTGGAGATGAAGATAATTTTTATGGATTATTAGAATTCTTTTTCTTTCCTTCTTACAACTCATTAGTATTTTACAGGCTCAAAGCAAAGGATAGCCAAGAGAATGGAATGGAACTAAAATGTCAATCAATCCACATTAGTACTTTCTAGAACAGTGGTTCTCAACCTTGGCTGCACATTAGAATCACCTGGGAATCTTTTTAAAATCCTGATTTCTGGGCCTCATCCTCCGGAAATTCTGTTTCTTTGTTACTAATGTTGTGGCCCCACCCCATAACAAAGAAACAGAATATGCGCTGACCACCAGGGGGTGGTGCGGAACGAAGGAAGGCCCTGGCCAGCAGCCAGCAGCCGCTAGGGACCCTACCCATGCACGAATTTCATGCACTGGGCCTCTAATATCACATAAAGACTAAAGAAAAGAAAGCATACTAAGATGAATGACGGTAAACTGACAGTGCTACTTTCCGTGTGTTTTTTTAAATATATATTTTTATTGATTTCAGAGAGGAAGGGAGAGGGAGAAGGAAATAGAAATAATGACGAGAGGAGAGAATCATTGATTGGCTGCCTCCTGCACACCCCCTATTGGGGTTTGAGCCCACAACCCAGGCATGTGCCCTGACCAGGAATCGAACCATGACCTCTTGGTTCATAGGTTGACACTCAACCACTGAGAACACACCAGCCAGGCTTATGTAAGTGTCTTGATCTCAAACATCTGAAGTTTTTCTAGAAAATGTTACCTTTTCCCTATTTCCATTCAAAATATCACACACAAAAATTAAAACCTAGAAAAAGAGCATACTAGTTACATTATAATCAGATCACACCTAAGTGCAGCCATACAATTATTTACTAACTCAACCTGATGAATAAATCTTACAACAGAGCTTTAGGCAAAAAATGTATCACATTTTTCTTTTTTATTGACTAGAGGCCCAGTGCACGAAATTCATACATTGGGGGTGGAGGGGAGGTCCCCTCAGCCCAGCCTGCACCCTCTCCAATCTGGAAGCCCTTGGGGGATGTCCAACTGCCGGCAGACGGACATCCCTCTTGCAATCCAGGACCACTGGCTCCTAACCGCTCGCCTGCCTGCCTGCCTGATCACCCCTAATCCCTCTGCCTGCCTGCCTGATTGCCCCTAACTGCCCCCTTGACAGCCTGATCACCCCTACCTTGCCCCCCTGCCAGCCTGATCGCCCCTGCCAGCCTGATTGCCCCTAACCACCTCTGCCTCGGCCCCCAGCCTAAGCTGCAGTCTGGCCTCCCTCTGCCAGAGGCGACCTGGCCAATCAGGGAAAGGCACCGCCCCCATCACCCCACTGCTGCTGCCACTGGCGGCCACCATGGCTGCCTGAGCCTCGGGCCGGCCCTCCTAGCAGCAGCCGCCATCCAAGGCTTCCCTGAGCCTCTGGCCGGCCCTCCCAGCAGCAGCCACCATCCACGGCTTGCCTGAGTCTCAGACAGCCACTATGGCTTTGTCCGGAAGGTCGTCCAGATGGTCATCTGGAAGATACCTACCCTAATTAGTATATTACCCTTTTATTAGTATATAGATTTTAGAGAGAGAGGAAGGCAGAGGAGGAGGGAGGAACAGAGGGAGAGAAGGAAGGGGGGAGAAAAGGGGAGAGGGAGAGAGAGACAAGGAAGAAAGAGGGAGAGAAAAACATCTATTTGTTGTTCCACTTATTTATGCACTCATTGGTTGATTCTTGTATGTGCCCTGACCAGGGATCAAACCCACAACCTTAGCATTTTCAAGTGCACTTAAAATTAGACTTTTCCAAATATAGGGTGTCCCCAAAAAAATGTATACACATTTTAACAGCTGATAACTAGCTTAATTTTGAAAATGAGTTGTATGTTAATAAGCACTGACTTTACAATCATTCAAAGTATGTATACATTTTTGAGGGGACAACCTATACATTTAAGTTTCAATTTCAGGCATGTGCTTTTAAAATTACTTCACTATACCTGACTAATAAACTGGCATAAACTAATCTCAAAATAAAGTTAGGTAAGGAAAAATTTTAGAAACCAAACCACAGACACATAAAATTTCTTCCAAGCAATGCAAATAAGCATGGATACATAGACACTTAAGACACAAAAGTGCATGAATGGAGGTAAAGGTTTGTGGGCTTTGTTTTTCTTAATAGTCCAGGTTAATAAATAAGTTTTGTACAACAAGAGTTAGTGGTTAATATTCCAGTGACATCTTTCCCCGTACATCCATTACCTGGAAACTTATCAGAAACTAGTCAAAATGAGTACTGCTAGAAAACAAACTTTTTCTAATAAGAGAAATATCATCACTGGGTAAATTAAGTAAGATCTTTCTATCTCATGCTAATCAATAGAGAGAAAATTTTTTTCCGCACATAAAGTAGTTCTAGTCCTGTAAATGTCCAAGAATTATGGAAACCATAAAGTGAACTCTACAAATTACTTACCATATTCTCTATCTCTTTAATTCAGGATGGAACCCATGTATTTTGTAAACATAAAGTAAAACAAATGATTCTTAATTCTTACAAAGATCTTTTAATTAAAGTAAAATCTGTAATTAATATTTTTATTAAGGTACAAGTGTTTCATCATTCTACTTTTAATCTTACCCTTATCTGTTCCGTGGAGCTGCTGCTAAGTTCATCACCAGACTCAGAATCCTGATGGGCCCTTTCTGAGACTTCTGCTGAATCGCAAGACTGTTCCTGGGAGAAGCTAGTTTTCTCTATGTCCAAGAACTCTGGACCAGGAAAGTGACCAAATAAGCGTGTCCTATTCTGGCTGGAAACTTTAGGTGAATGTGAATCACTGCTAAACTTTCCATTATTGTGGGTGAGGTCCAGGCTTAGGTTGACAGTTTGACTTGGATCATAATTGGATCCAAAATTCTGATTGGCATCACGAATAAGACCTGTTCCTTGAATAGACAATGATGGCTTTCCAAAACTTGAAAGCTCAGGCAATTTGTTCACATTTTCTGTTGATCTCTGAAGATGCAGACTCTGGATCACTTTCATAGAATTATTTGGCAGTCCAGCTGCCTGTTTAACAGGCGGCATCAGAGCTTTGCGGGTGACTTCCTTAACATATTGGGCTGGCACATAAAATGCTTTAGAATTCTCATCTGGTTTGACTTGCCACCAGTCATCATTCGTCTTTTTCACCAATATGTATCGTTCCCCTTGTCTTATCACAATCTTTCTGTCCTTTGCTTCATATTCATAATCATATTCCACTTCGATATACACTTGTCCTGAAACAATCTTGCCACTTCTGTCAGCCATTTTTATTCAATAATATTCACCTCTCAAAAAGCATGGTATGCCACATGATCGCCTTATGTCTTGTTGGATTAATATGGCTATTGTTATTTAAACAGAAGAACAGAATGAAGAAACAAGTTAATAGAGTCTGGATTTTTTATATTTACTCACAAGCATCACATAATACAAGCCATTTATTACCTGCAAATCTCAAACTCAGAAAGTAAACATGAATCTAATGTTTTCTATTGTCCTATATTAGAAAACTCTCATAATACTGTAATGTACTTTTTTCAGTCATTTACGACCAATACCAAACCAATAACTGGAATAGTAAATACACTATTAACCAGTCAGACACAAGACTGTCAAAAATAAGAGATGAGACCTTTCCTTCTTTTCATGACTACCTCAAACCTCCTTCACTTTCTTAGAAAGGCTCAGTAATAATAGGCACTTCCCATGGGCCAGGCACTGATCTAGGTTCACTCTATGCCTTAGCTAAGATCATCTTTGAAGTTGGAGTTGAATTTCAATGAAATTGTACTCTTCATTTTTTAAAATGATCAAGAGCATTAATGAGTTTTAAAAAACACTATCCAGCCCAGACAGTGTTGCCCAGTGATTGAGCACCGACCTATGAATCAGGAAGTCACAATTCGATTACCCGTCAGGGCACATGCTCAGATTTCGGGCTCAATCCCCAGTGGAGGGCATACAGGAGGCAGTCAATGATTCTCTCTAATCATTTATGTTTCTCTCTCTCTCCTTCTCCCTTCCTCTCTGAAATCAATAAAAATATATTTTTTAAAAAGTTATCCAATTATATGTTTCATTTCCTAATATAAAAAATACAGCATTGTTATTGTTAGACAAAATACACTGAAAAAGAATCTGCTAATTTACTTTGTTTTCCTTTTATGTCTACCTCAGGAGGGCCATGATTCTTGTTAGGTTGAATCCCACAAATGCCAACAAATAATCAGTATTTGTATTAGTAAATGTTAAAAATCTACCGCCACCACCCCAAATCCATTCAAAGTCTATTAAAAATAGCCCTAAATTGGCTTAAGAAATTTAGTTTTTACTTTGTTTTTTTTTAATCCTCACCTGAAGATATGTTTATTGGTGCGAGAGAGAGAAACATCGATATGAGAGAGAAACATAGATCAGTTGCCTGCCATATGCACCCCAACCGGGGATTGAACCTGCAACCTAGGTATGTGCCCTGATCGGGACTCGAACCCACAACCTTTTGGTGTATGGGACGATGCTCCAACCAAGTGAGTCACCCAGTCAGTGCTCTAGTTTTCACTTTAATTTCTATACAAATTCCAAAATATTTTGTACCTCATAGAACACAACATTCAAACTTCAAAATGAAGTGCACCCCAACCGGGGATTGAACCTGCAACCTAGGTATGTGCCCTGATCGGGACTCGAACCCACAACCTTTTGGTGTATGGGACGATGCTCCAACCAAGTGAGTCACCCAGTCAGTGCTCTAGTTTTCACTTTAATTTCTATACAAATTCCAAAATATTTTGTACCTCATAGAACACAACATTCAAACTTCAAAATGATCATAGCATTGCAATATTACTACAACTCAAGTCAAGCCACAACCAGTGGGATGAAGTGTCTTCCCCCAAAAAAGGTATGTTGAAGTCCTAAAGCCAGGACCTGCAAAGACCTTATTTGGAAATAGGGTCTGTGCAGATGTAATCTATTTAAGATGAAGTTATACATGATTAGGGCGAGCCCCAAAATCCAATGACTGGTGTCTTCATAAGGAGAGGGAGATTCGAAAACCAGGAGAGGAGACCCAGAAGAAAAAAGCCCATATGAACACAAAGGCAGAAATTGGAGTGATTCAGGTATAAGCCAAAATGCCAAGGATGGTGGGAAGAAGCAAGAAAGGACCCTCCCCTAGAGCCTTCAGAGGGAGAGCAGACTTATTGATGCCTTTATTTTGGACAGCTAGCTTCCAGAACTGTGAGAGAATAAATTTTTGTTGTTTTAAGCCACTCACTTTGTGCACTCTATTACAGCAGCCCTAGGAAACTAATACACTCAACCCAAAGCTCACAGATCAAACCTTAGCAATCTGAATATTAAGCATACCAAAAATATTTACCCAAGGTCCCATGGCAACCTGCCAGTTTTCCTCAGCACCCAAGTACTGGGCATGATATTACTGTATGCTATATGTGCAGTAACTAATAAGCATTCCCCTGAGGATAATTATTCTCTGTGACAGATAACCCCATAAGCCCAGTTGATAAATAAGTTAGTGATACATCAGTAACTAAAATTTACTTTCTAGACAAACTACGTGAATAACAAATTTAATACAGTAATGTTGTTTCAAAAATAAAAATAAAACTTACCTTAGAAGGAGACAGAAATATCCAGTATTAATTTAAACCTATAAAAAAAATAAAGTTCATTAACTTTGGTCAGAATTGCTTAAAGAAAGCTATAAGTACAATGCTGCTCACATTTTAGAAGCATAACTTTTTGGCTACAAGGAACACAGTACTATTTTATATGCCACCACTGTGTCAGCAACATTCTCCAAACACAGGTACACTTTACCACTGCCTCTCCTACTTCATTTCCACATTGTCTCAACTTCATTTCTGCCTCTTATTTTTATTCTGACAGAATACCTTTTTAAACTACTAATAACATAAGAAACAACTTTTGTAAAATTGTTAAAATTACAACTATTTTTCAAGTTTATGTATTGAGTGGTTAAAGAGAATGAAAACACATATTGAAAGTTATTGGTAGCCCTAACATTTCCCCACAGATTACTTACTAATTATAAATGGGGAAATATACCAAGTGATCAAACTTAGCAACACCAACAGTGGGATAGACAACCTGATAATATATATGCCTCCTAAGGGGATGCAACAAGATGTTACAATGTCACCTAAATTGTACTCTTGCCAAAAAAAGGTTTAACCTTACTGCTAATCATTAGGATACAAACAAATCCAGAATGTGAGACATTCTATTAGACAACAGACCTGAATTCTTTTTTAAAAAATTCAATTTCATAAAAAAATGAAAAAGGGAGATTCTTCTAGATTAAAAGTGACTACAGACAATAGCCAAATCCACTTGATGTTTTAATACCTAAAACTTACCATCCCAAAATCCACTTCCTATCTCTACCCCACCCCAGCCCTGGCAAATCCACATGGTATATGCCCTCACAGTAAATAGAAATTCTAACTTTCCAAAGGCCCAACCTTTATTTTCATGCATTACTGGGACATTAGTCACTATGTGCTTTAATCTTTTTACCTACATATCTTTTTCACTACTTTTCAAAATCCCAGACTGAGATATTTATCCTCCGGTGGTGTTTTTTTTCTCCTTTTTCTTTTTCTTTCCAGGAAGTAATGAAATAACTTAAGAAATACCTTTGAAGATAGTGAAACAAGTAAGGGTACATGCAGAAAATTATTGTAGCTCAGGCATACTATAATTGGTCAAACATTTATCCGTAGGAATGGAGAAAAGTATGAAGAATAACAAGTAAACTGTATGATTTCATGCTAGTCAGAGAGGGGCTGTGGGGTGGGAGGCAACACTGGGTTAAAGGTCAGTCTATGTTCCATCTCTTTCACTGCCAGGTTTTATAACTACACCTTCCCCAGTGACTAGAAGTAAGAAGGAGGTGTTAGGAAGAAAGATAAAGAAGTCAATTTAACCACGTTCAACATGAGACATCCATCCAATCTACAGTTTTAGTTAAAGGCACTGAGAACTGTGAGGACAAGGAAGACAAGTAGTCAAAAGAGTACCTATGCAAAAAAGGTAGTTAGATATCAAGGCAGATGGCATGAGCAAAAGTGGGCACAATGTAATAAGAGAACAGGAGCTGAGATAGATTTCTTGGTAATACTGGGATAGTAGATGGGGAATGAAATGGTGAAGCCCCTAAGAGAGGCTAATCTATAATAATGAAAGCGTAATTAGACCAGACGTCATTCCGGACGACCTTCCGGAGGAAGCCAGGGCTGCGAGGGAAGCCCAGGTCCCAGGTGAAGCCCGAGTCCTGGGTGCCTGCCAGCGGCCAGAGGGAAGCCGGTGCCGGCAGCCAGGGAAAGGAAGGCCTACTCCTGCACAAATTTCGTGCATTGGACTTATAGTAAAATTATAAACTTCTAGAAAATCACATAGCAAAAATTATGTATTACAATCCAAGGTCTAGGAAAAGTTAGATAAAGTAAAAATAAAAATAAAAGCCTTATTATACACTATGGAGTCAAAGAAAATTAAAATAACTATGGAGTAGCTCTAAAAACTTATCTCAGTGAAAATTATCTGCAAATGTGTGAATAACTTACATACTTTTAAAAACATAAGCCGTATTAAAACATTTAGTTTTGGCTTGTTTCTTCATCCATTCCCCAAACGTGTGGATTATTCTCTTTAAATTAGGTTGAGCATTGTTTATCCCAGTGGTTCTCAACCTTGGCTGCACATTAGACTCACCTGGGAATCTTTTTAAAATCCTGATTTCTGGGCCTCATCCTCTGGAAATTCTGTTTCTTTGTTATGGGGTGAGGCCACAACATTAGTAACAAAGAAACAGAATTTCCGGAGGATGAGGCCCAGAAATCAGGATTTTTAAAAGATTCCCAGGTGAGTCTAATGTGCAGCCAAGGTTGAGAACCACTGGTTTATCCTGTTATCCTCTCAAGGATTTTGGTTAGAATCTTATTCAACTACAGCACCCACTGAGCAAAACACTCCTCTAATTGAAATATATTCTGTACTCATCATCACACTCGTGCATCCATATTCATATCTCCCTCTCTTCTCTCTCCCCCCCCCTCTCCCACCCCCCCTCTCTCTCACACACTCACACACACACTTACAACTAACTACTAAGTACCTAACCAGTACAAGTAAAGTTTCTGCATAGGTACTGCCCAGTACCAACCAACTGCTTTTCTTTGCAGTTTCAAAAACACCTATGTAGGCTTAGCACACCTCTCATTTTTCAACAAGAATAGACATACAAACACACAACTCCTTATATCTTTTACTTCTCTTCCTCCAAGTCAGATTCAGAACTTTCTATTATGATATTTTAAAATCGAATAGCCTCCTCCTTTCTGTCTGCCAATTTTTCTCATATTTTCCTCCACAAATTACACAGCTCAGCAAATGTTATCTTCCTCCTCCAGGACATCCACTTAGTCAACTATATCTCTCAGTATGGTGTCCTTACTAACTATATCAGAAAAGTAAACAAGCCCTGACCGGTTTGGCTCAGTGGATAGAGCATCAGCCTGTGGACTCAAGGGTCCCAGGTTCGATTCCGGTCAAGGGCATGTACCTTGGTTGTGGGCACATCCCCAGTGGGGAGTGTGCAGGAGGCAGCTGATCAATGTTTCTCTCTCATCGATGTTTCTAACTCTCTATCCCTCTCCCTTCCTCGCTGTAAAAAAATCAATAAAATATATTTTAAAAAATAAATAAATAAATAAAGTAAACAAAACCTTAAGAAAAATATAGTAAATATATCCATAATTAATAAGTTTACAATTTAAGTCCCATATATAGGTATAGCCTATTTAGCAATTCTAATACACGAACGATAAAATGTTAACACAGCTTCACATGAAAATGTTAACCAACTTAAAAATACCACAATTTAAACACTGATTCTTGATACTAAGTCCTCCAAGCAGTTTTAAAAGTACTTGTTTAAAATTAACAATCCCTGAACAGGCCTCTGCTAAAGAAATCAATTAAGCTTAATGAGCACAACAAAAATGTTAAGAACAATTCCAGTGACAGAAATTACTCCACCGAATAATTCTGTAAACTGTACAGTTAACAAGACATCATAGGCCAGCCATTATAAGGCACTTAAGTGTTTTTTTCTTAATGCATGATCCCTGTTTTCTAAGAATAAAAGATATATAAAGCATTTCTTTAGGCCTAAAGAAATAAAGGAAATAAAATAATTAATATTATAAACTATTCTGGCCATAAAGAAATAGCAAAAATAGAATAGGAGAAAGGATACAGGAAATGATTGGGTAACTGGAAAGCAGCAGAGAACACAGTCAAGTATAAACCAGTAAAGGAAACTCAAAACCAAGACTTAAATCTGAAACAAAAATGAGAAAACAACCAAAGAAGTGTTTGGGGAAGCAAGCATATTTCAATAAAAATGACATGTGCATGAGGTATTTTAGGAATATTTGTGCCATGAAGCCTTTCTTAGTCAGAAATGCGTGAGCATGACTTTTTCTTGGATACAAGAATGGAGAAAACATTCCAATTTAAAAAGGAAAAAATATGACCTTAGAATCAGCAATGAATTTTTAAATATACCCACCAAATGCATGATCCATGTAGAAATTTATTGAAATTTAAAACTTCTGATCTGTGAAAGACTCTAAGGGAATGAAAAAAAACCACAGGAAGAGAAAATATTTGCAAAAGACCTCTGATGAAGGACTTGTAGCCAAAATATGCAAAGAACTCTTAAAACTCAACAAAATGAACCAAAATTTTTACATGGAAAAAAGGATCTTGAGAAAACACATCATGAAAGAAAACATGGCAAGTAAGCACGTGAAAAAATATCAACATCATGTCATTAAGAATTTGCAAATTAAAACAAGATACCATTACATACCCATCAGAATGGCTAAAAAAAAAACACTGAAAACACCAAATGCTGGTGAGGATGTAGAGCAGGGGTCCTCAAACTTTTTAAACAGGGGGCCAGTTCACTGTCCCTCAGACCATTGGAGGGCCGGACTATAGTTTTAAAAAAAACTATGAACAAATTCCTATGCACACTACACATATCTTATTTTGAAGTAAAAAAACAAAACGGGAACAAATACAATATGTGTATTTGCATGTGGCCCGCGGGCCATAGTTTGAGGACCCCTGATGTAGAGCAACAGGAACTTTTATTCATTGCTGGTAGGAATGCAAAATGGTACAGCCACTGTAGAAGACAGTTTAGCAGTTTCTTACAAAGATAAATATGGTCTTACCATACCATCACACTCCTGGGTATTTAACCAAATGAGTTGAAAATTTATTTCCACAAAAAGTCCTACAGCAAATGTTTATAGCAGCTTTATTTATAACTTCTAAAAACTAAAAGCAAACAAGATGCCCTACAATAGGAGAAAGGATTAACTGTAATGGAATATTATCTAATCTAATAAAAGAGAAACATGCAAATTGACCGCCCCTCCACTATGCCCCAAGCCACGCCCACCAGCCAATCAGTGCGACTATATGCAAATTAACCCAACCAAGATGGCAGCCGGCAGCCACGAAGCTGGAGCAAGCAGAAGGCTTGGTTGCCCCGGCGATGGAGGAAGCCAAGCTTCTTGCCTGCTCTGGCCGGCTGTGGCCTCTGCTCAA